CATAATGCTATTAATCATGCAAGGGCGTCAAGGTTCAGCTGGTGTCATGGTCAGCTTCAAAAAGCTCGACTTATTAACTTCTCCTCGTTCTGCACAGAGTTGGCTGTAAAATCTTTGAAGATTTTATCAGGTACAGGTGTCGATTCTTGCTGCTCCAAGCACACCTCAGACTGTTTCGCCTGGCCATTAAAAACGACAGAAAGGCCAACGTGGGTCAACTTATGCGATTTCTTTTTTTCTTTTTCTGTTTTTCCTTTTTTTTTTTTTTTTTTTAAGAGTTGCATACTGCTGAGGAATAAGCTCGTTAGGCCTAATTACAGATGTTGAATCGTGAAGCCATTTATCTTTTCAGCTCAGTTTCAGCAGAAGTTGGAATCAGTAACAAGTTATTCTGATAGCCATTCTTAGGAGGAAAAAACTAAGTTAGATAGGTGAACTGGAAAAATACTAATTAGACTTTTTAAGACGCAGAAGTCATACAGTTAGGCGAGATAATATTTCTTAAGACAGCAAATAGTCATGTAACTTTTAATTATGATCTGCTAACTAAAGCTTGTATTGTTTCATCTATAAAAACATTTTTTTCTGGAGATTTCTGCTGAAATTTACAGATCACTTCCTATTTTGACTCCTATAGGAGTCGCGCCTGTGCAGTCTTGGTTAGTCAAAAATGTTTCCCAACAACCTGAAGGATATTTATCACTCCGGTAACTGCAACTCCAAAACGTAAATTTGTAGCAAAAGAATGCTATAATTTGGATTTATTTGACACGCAGTAAATATTTGTACTGTCTTCTAGCTCTCTGATTGAGCTCCTGCTGCATAAAAAAAAAAAAAAAACCCGACAGTGTTTCCAGGCAGAGTTAATATATGGGTTTCTCCTTGCGTCGTAAAGCTTGAGGTTAAATTCTGGGACGCAAAAAAAGAGATGGACTTTGAGACGCTTTCTTGTTCACAACTCTCTGTAATTTGAAATGAACAAAATAAGATTCATCATGTCAATGACTGTAACATATATTCACAGGAATGCGGGCTTAACCTGTTTTAAGCATCACAACCGACGAGGACCTTCGGGCATATGCGGGAAATCAGAATTCCTCATACAAAATTTTTTTTTTGTTTTTTTTTTTTTTTAGATGTTACTCAGGGGCAAAAAAAAAGTAATTTGATTATGTACGTAACTTGAGAGTTGAAAGAAAAAATCTGGAAAGAAAAAAAAACTGAGTTTTAGTTTTTCTTCAAATAAAAAAAAATAAAAAATCTCAAACTTTCAGTTCTTTCTCTCTTGAAGAATAAGCCTATAACTTCCATGGATACTTAGGTTAATTAGAGCCAACTGTCATTAATGTGAGTGCCATAATTTCTGATAATGTAGCCTAAAGGAAGCACATATGAAGAAAAACCTGAACTGGACCTATGTCAAGCCCTGAGGAACAGCATAATATACTCTTAAACAGCTGAAGAGTCGTTATTAACATTTAAAAAGTGGAAGACATCACAGACATATGAGTTAAATCAGCAATGTAAACTCAGGTTAATTGGTAAAGATATAGGCATACTCAAAGTTTGAATGCTGTTTAAATTCCTGACTCGTGATGTTTTTGTCTTTTCTATTAAGATTATAAATTTAAAATGTATTTCTTTGAGACTGAGATTACCTCTGTTAATGCCAGCTATATATATATATATATATATATATATATATATATATATATATATATATATATATATTAAAAAAATACTTTATTTAAATTGGCTAAAGAGTTTTCAGTGTCTTGGAACAACAAGACGTTTGTTTTCCATCAGTGTTATATTTTTACTTCTAGAGCCATCAGAGGACAGAACAAAATGCTGCACGCTTCTTTTATTTTTCTTTGTCTGCTTCTAAAACTTTATGACACAGCCCCAGTCTGGTTAAATCCACTCAAACGTACACTGCTTTGACCAAACCTACCTCTTTGAAGAGATTAAGCAGAATTGTTGCAATAGAGATGTAAAGTTCGGCAACAGATCTTCACCGTTAAAAAAAAACAAACTAGGATCATAATGCCCACCCTGTTATCTGAAACTTTCCTCTTTTGCTCTCTTTCGATTCATATATTATTTACTTGGAGCGATCAGCCGCTTTGCTCTGCCCTCTTTGTAGTCAGTAGGTTACTGTTAGTGCAGAGTCTCTGCTGATTGTCATCATAGCCATTGAACCCTATTGGTAACAGCATAAGTGAGATTTAAGCCTCGGTAACATGAGTGTGGAGGTGATTGATGTGAAATATGCCCTCCCTCATTGACTGGATGAACTCCATTTTCTGCTCCTAATGCAGAAATCACTCCGGGTCCCGAGCATAATGATTTACGATGAATCTGTGTCAATGTTGAACTCGGCAAACCCCACATAATCCATCTTGCAGATATACCTACCCCAATCCCACCCTACCTTGCCAGCCCACAGCCGCCCCATCCTCTCAGCCGTCACAATGGGGGGGAAAAGTAAGGAATGCGCTCTCGCTCACTTCCTCTCTCTCTCTCTCTCTCTCTCTCTCTCTCTCTCGCTCTCTACGTCTGTTACTGTTGAATCCATTACAGGCCTGATGTGTAATCACGGAGGACCTCTGTGCCCCCTCACACTGTAATTACCTGGATACAGATCCTCACTCCATCCCCAAGAGCGGCTCGAAACTCCATTAACCAGCATGCAGTGCTTTCGGCTGCTCTGTCTGGGTGGCTCTGTGGAAATTTGAAGTACGGAGGGAGAGGAAGGTTGAAAAATGTATTTAAGTGATTGGATTTTGACCTCTGATTTTTGACCTCATTTCTGAGGGAATAAATCATGGTCTGAGCAAAATCTCCACCGCAAGCCACCCGCCCTCTCACCCTCCGATATGGAAATCTTTTCAAGTACAGTACATGCAACATGACTGCACCGTGAAATCAACCCCTGTTGTCAGTCTTTGTATCCTACACAGTGACACCGCTGTTGCTGCTGACAAACATTATCCTGTGTGTGATCATGTGCGCAGTGTCGCCCTCCCCTGCCTCCCTCCCTCCCTCTCTTTCAAAATAAGTCAAAGTGGAGCTGGCTGTGTAGACACAGTAGGGTTGTCACACTGTGTCAAGTGCGCGGGTGTCAGCGTTGCATCTGTTGCAGTCACATCTCAGAAGACACGAGGAAGCGTCTCTCTGTTGACTTCATCTGTTTGTTTGGCAGCCTGCCTGATTGCTGGAGTGTGTAGTGGCGAAGAGGAGCTCCGGCTCAGTCGGCGCAAACGGCGACAAGCCTAATCCCTGCTTTGCCGGGAGAACAGAGAGTCTTCTCCCAAACAAACAACGCAACAGGCAAGCTCCCGTGACTTCCCCGCGCCATCCTGCAAAGAGGGACACTGGATCTTTGGGGCTTTTCTGGAATACATTTTGCAAATCTGAAAACATGCAATATTTTGTCACATGCTTGATATCGGGAGATTATTCACTTACCTCGCATCAAGCTATTGCAGTAACTAACTGATAACGACTCCTTACACCAGTGCAATGTAATTTTTATCCATTCTACTCTCAAGAGTTATTTTAGTTTTAGCAATATTGGAGGATTTTTAGACATGAATAGCCTATTTACAGTATTAGTACAACACTTAAATACATACTTTGGCTAGGCTACTCCAAGATCTTAAAAACCTTTAGATTGGACCATTGACCTGTTTCATGAAAAAAGTACTCCTTAGTTTCAGCAGATTTCCTCATTCTATCAAGTCCGTCAAGTAATTCAGGCCCCAATATAAGAAAGTAGATGGGCTGATGCTTATTTCCAGTAATAACTGGGTGAGAGATGGAGTGCACCAAGGATAGAGCACCAGCCAATTGCAGGACAACACATAGATACACAGGACCATTAAGCGTGCATGCAGACACAATTTTGAGAAACCACTCAACCCAATCGTCATGTTTTTGGACTGTGGGAGGAAGCTGGAAAGAACTCATGCATGCACAGGTACAACAGGAAAACTTCATACAGAAAGACCCCCAGATGGGGATTGAAACCCGGGACTTTCTTACTCGCCAAAAATCCTTAAGGTTTAAGAAATTTCATGGTAGATTACAAATGATTAATCAGTTGTCTTCATTTCGCTTTCTTACTTTAGTGTTTCCATTTGGAGGGGTGTTAAAGTAATCTTTTATTTATTTTTTTTAACCAGCAACACCACTACTGAAGAAAGGTTTTTCACAGCAGACAGTTTGGCACCTCAGTGCAACAAACACTCAGGTGTCTCTGATGTCTACATTCCATTTAGATGATTTAATGATTGCTCATGCTCGCTTGCTGTCTCAGCTGACTGCTGTCCTTGAATGAACCGAGACTTAACTTTGTCGACTGTGATAGGAAAAGTCTATCCGTCTGTGCCTTGCCGCCCAGACATGTAAACGGCCCCAAAAGCAATTAGTAACATAGTGTCGTGGCAAAAGGCCTTCAGTACACGGACAAGATAAAAAAAAATTAGATTACATAGAAAATTACCAAGCCATTTACTGAAAAAGAAGAAAACAAAAAACGGACAATATTAATGGAAACAAGTGTCATTAATGGTTCTTTCCATCAAACCAAAACACAGAAGCTCTGATGTGGGGGCACTTTCTATGAAATAAATAAAAAAGGAAAAAATAACTCAGTGAATGGTTGCATCAAGGGAAAAGAAAAACAAAAAGAGCACTCAAAGTTAATGACAACGTACAATTAACTAAAAAAAAGGGCTAAGAATACTTTCTATGAGTAATAGCAACATAAACAGCAGTCATTTTAGACCATATTTACACTTTCATATGTTGTCTTTTCTTGCTGTTCAGAGGGGTTTTTTAAAAGATAAATATTTGAATTAATTTTATAGGAAACGTTTGTCTCAGAGAGAGTTTTGTAAACATTGTAAAAAAATTTGCTAAATATACTGTATGAAAAATTTCCATCAGGCAAAATTATTTACCTTCTTTCCGTTTTTCATTTTTTTTCTCTCTCTCTCTCTCTCTCTCGCGCGCGCACACAAACACTCACATAAATTTGGGTAAACATCAACAGGGAGGGCTTTGTTTTCCTCCCTGCCGCCAAGGCGAGAGAAAGCGAGAAGAGTGAGCCTTCACGAGTTGCGCTGCTGGAATCCGGATATGATGAAAATGTTTTAGACCTGAAGTGTCCCGAGTAAACTTACCGCAGCTGCGCGCCGAAAGAGTCAACAGAGGATCATGTTTTCGACTTTTGTACGTCAAAAACCATCTGGAATATCTTGGACTACGAACGTCGAACAGTTAGAGTAGGGGTAAAACTGTCGGGTGTGAAGTTGTCTTGTTTTATTTTTCCTCCTAACGTTTTGAGGAACGAGTTGAAGGAGGGAAAGAAGGATGGGAATAAGTCACATTTGAACTCAAGTGAGAGAGTTGTCATGTTTGAAAGGTAAGTCGGACACAAACAGTAAATCTGCCATTGCTTCTTCTTTCTTTTTTTTTCTTGCTATAAAACAAAACAAAAAAAAGGCAGACCGTGAACAAATGGGCTGCTTATAAACTCTTTCAGCAAAGTTTATGTAAAGAGCGTGCGGAGGGAAATTTCCACTAAGTTTTACTGGAGCTCGACGTCACTTTTCTCGGCGTGTGAATAAGCAGTTTGAGTAACGACTTCCATAGTTTTGCTTTGTGTCTAAAAACGCTGCGCTGATTGTGAGACTTATTGCTTTTTGCAGGACTGAGGGCTGAGGAAAAGAAGGGAGGAACTACTTCTGCTGGTGGTGGTTTATAATTTTTTTTCTCCCTTCGAAGAGGACGACTGCCTCATGTCCAAGGAGACTGTCCATCCATCAGAAGGGCCGGCGGGTCCAGGACAGGGCCCACGGCAAGAGACAAGTCCCCTGCTGTTAGCGTCACACGGTAAGAGAGCACAAGACAGGCCATTAATCAGTGGCTTTAGGTGTGTATTCGGCGAATATGGGTTAATGTCAAGTACAGGGGTTCCACAGAGGTTTTGTCAGAATGGATAACTTGTATATTGTTAAGCGGTGGTGGAATAAATAAAAAGAAAAACTCCCTAAATGTATCGTGGCAATTGTTCACATGGCAGCAGTTTGGCAATGAGGCTCTCTGCCCAGAGTGGCAGGCTTGGTGGGCGGCAGCAGGAGTTGTGAAGAAAAAAATGTAAAAACTTAATCTGAGTCCGCAGAAAAGGAAAGGCCATTTTACATAATTTACAATTTGTATGTAATTGTAATGGTCCCTCTAGTTCAGTGGGAGAGACGAAATGAGTTGAAGATACGTAAATGTTTAAATGAATAGTTTTTATCTATATTTTTCATTGGCACATTTCTAATTCTCCTTCTGTATCCTAGCTTGGGATTGATGGAAACAAACTTCATTTGGGTACTCTTTTCATCATTTGATGTAAGAATAATGCAGGTTTGTCCTCTCAAAGGCTAATAAACTTTAATTTTGTGCAGAACACTGGAAGACAAAATGTTGAAAATAAAACACACTTAAAAACAATAAGTCAAAGCCACACACAACCAGAGCCATAAAGAAAGTAGATTATGAATTCTCTGTAAACAAAATTTTCATCAGAATGGAAATGATTAAGCTCAGTTTAATTTATTGTGCGATAAATTGATTAATTGCTCACTGCAACAAGATTCATTTGCAGTTTGTAATGTGGAGGAGTGAAAATCCCCTGCTGTGACAGCAGCTGAGAGGGACAGATGCATCGCGACTGATGCGCCTGTGAGTGTTTTGTGACGGGCATAGGCTCCATGACAGCTCCCACTGACTATTGAGCAGAATAAAAACAATGGTTTGAGATTAAAGTCTCCACTATTGGACAAGATCTGCATTTTTTTTAAGAGGTAACGTGACCTAAATGCTTCTTATTGATAACAGTGAAATTTCCAGCTTGGCAACACCAATAGTTATTTTCATGCTCACTCAGAGGAGGGCAAGGGCACGGAAAACTTTCTTGTGTCCGTGATATGCAGTGATAAATGTTTCTTCAGGAATTTGTTTATGAGAAGTACTTGTACTGCTCAGACTAGAGCTTTTTTTTTTTGGCCATCTTTTATCCAGACAAGCACAAAGAGTACAACGGATAAACCTTGACTGGTAGACTCTTGAAGTTTCTTGCCCAGAGCGCTATTCGTTCAAGAACAGCCACCACACATTTGTAGCTGGCAAGCTAAAATGTGTGAAAGGCATACATAGCTCATGTATTCACCAAGTTCTCCCTCTGTTTCATCCAATAAAATTCAGCTATAAATACACTTACGTATTTGGTTTCGAAACTTGCTTTTAAAAATAAAATAAACAGAAAACATGAGTGAAAGTGGCTTTGGGTTGGTATTTTCTTATACTTTCAGGCAACTTTCAGTAAAAGTCATTATCTGCGCACTAGTCTGAAAGCCTTGATAATGTTTGTGCCTGTTTTTTTTTCCTTAATAAAGTTGGAGGAAACACCCTGCTGACTATTAACAGCAACCACACAGCCAATTATAGTTTTTAATTAACTTTCCAGTTGCCCCTAAGATTATCACATGTAAAATAAGCTTACCCCCACACCCGCTTTTCATTTTTCTTCAAACAAGCAACGGACCGTTAACCGATCATTATTATGGCACGGTTTCAAAAAGAGAAAAAAAAAATAGGAAAGTAGGACAAAGTGAGCAATTGCACGGGACTGCTGGATTGTAAATGGATTCCACTTTTGTTTTTGGTGGATTTTCCCCTTCAGTGGACAGTGGGTCTGCTGGATATAGGCTGATTTTAAGTAAACTGTGATGCTTAAATACTCCAAATGATCTCAACATGCTTCCACTTCCTATATTACACCTCTGACCACTTATCCATCACAGCTCGCAAAATGGATTGTTATTGCAGTGAAGCAAAGCTATATTAGGTGTGCTCCATGGTCAAACCCTTGATTCAGTTTCACATCAAAGCAACAGTATGCAATAAACAAGCCATAATGTTAAACACAGGAAGCCAGTTTGAGAGACAGATTAAGAGTTTCTCGTATTTGTGCATGGCTATCAGGCCAGTTTATTTTTTTCTTCTTTTTTCTTGTTTTTTTGCCTGGATGCTTTTCCAATTTAGATGAATGCAGCCTTTATAGCAGTAAAAGAATCTTGGCAGGTAGAGCACACTCGGGAGCACTGGGAGAAAGAAAATGAGATCCAGAGCTCTGGCAGGGACTTTCACCTGAACCGTCCCACCATGTCGCACACGTTGCCAGGTGGTTGTTTTTGCTGGCGTGAAAAAGGAGGGCGGCCTTTTGCAACTACGGGTTACACAGCTGATATTCGGTCTGGCACAACCAACCCAAACGGGAATGTTAACGTTTGGTAGAAAAGTGTTTATAGGTAACCTTGTTTTTCGGCAATCAGGACTTCATACCCACTTTTGGGCATTAATGTGCTGTTGGTTTGCAGATTGTTTCGTAATGCTTTGAGCCGTTCACACCGTGTAACTTTATTGCATGAAAGAAATGAATCAGAAGCACAGGTTTGTTTTTGGATTTTCTCTAATCCTCACATAGATGCATACATCCCCACAAGTATTTGGTAAAAAGTCACTAATCATGCACTGTTTTGTGGTTTTTACTAGGGGTATGGCATAGTGCTGCCCCAGTTAGCCACTGTTCTTATCAGAGATAATAGATGCTTATTTAAATCAATTGGTATGTACACATAGAATCTACTCACAGAATTCACAAGTTTTCATCTATTCCAAGACCAGTGTTCATGTTTATCAGGATCATTACCTTTTATGGGTTTTTAGAAAACCCATTTGTTTCCAAGTGGGCTATTGATTTCAGGTGAGGGTTTGTCCTGCACGTGCATGGGCAGAAAACGACAAAAACAATATTGGATAGCATTGTCCTGTGTGTGCTACTTAACCTGCCTACCTTAACACAACTTCTGATAAGGAACATGTGTTACACTTTGTTCATTTGAGACAGAGAGATGAAGGTGGAAGCTAAGGGTTTAAAAGCGCATGCATGTTTTGACGACATGTTAAAATCACAGCGCTACGTAGGGCCCCAGCATAACAGCAGTGGATTGAAGATATCTTGGCGGTCTCGTCTAAACGTGAAACTTTTCACCAAGCAACATTCAAAAACACCATCGGTTTCCAGACAGTGGTCTTACGTAAACATAGTCCAAGCTATGCCAGAAAATTGTGGACTTGGATTAAAAATGGGCTCTGTACCAGGAAACAAACTCACCTCTTCTGCCATAAAGACAGATCAACTATTGAGCCAGATGGATTTTAAACCAAATATTTGTTGGGGTGTATGCATTATGCCACACTCTCTGTGTTTCACTAAATCCTTACGAGCCTCACAACGAAATAACTTCCAGGCCTATGAGGACTGTATGTAAATGTCCGACCGCCCATTTCATTTTGAACCATACTTAACATCCACTTCTTGTGACTTCCCTCCCCAGATGCTTGTGACTGTGAATCAACAGGAAGCGCGTCTTCTCCTAGGAAACAATCCGCTGAAGGACAAAGTCTCGTGACGGAGGAGAAGCCTAATTATTGCAAGCCTGTGAGGAGTAAGTCTTAATGACCCGGGAAAACTGTGGGCAAACAGCAGTACATCGTTGTGCTATTTTTTTCCTCTCTCTAAATAATAAACAATGAGGAATTTAATTGCAGAAAGTGAAAGTGATTAACATGTCGGATCAGCCTAACTTCTGCAAGTGATTTTTTATTTATTTTTTTATTCAACATTTGAAACTGCTTTAATTTTACTCAGATTTTTTTTTCTAATGCCAATATTCTCACCTTATAGGAAAAGCTATTGTTATGCTGTTCCTGTGTTAGGGTCAGTTGGCCATCTGAAATATTAGCTTCACTGTTTCCAATTACAGTAATAGCCAGATAGCAGCTCGGCCTCTTGGCAAGTGAGTATAACATGCCTGCTGTCTTATTCTGACGTTATGACCAAGACTTGGCTCAGTCGGCCATTTTTGCTTCTTTCAAATCCTCAGCCATGTGTTTTGCAAGAAGGGAAATCCAGTTTGTGGTATTGGCCGTCCTCATGTACCGATTGAGTCCTACTTGTAGTTTCTTTAACCTGGTGCCAACGTTTGCCTCTTCACAGGATGTTATTGCAGACTGGGAAAGAGTGTATTTTAGTTGAAGTAGCATCCAGGTTTGCAACATGTGGGGGGTGGGGAAATAGACTTGTCTGGTCCATCAATCATCTACCTATCATCCATAAATGATAGGTCATCCGTCCATTCCTATGTCTGTCCATCAACATCTCTAACTGTACATTAGTCCATCCAACTACCTTCTGTCAATCTGTCTGGACGTCTTCTTGTCTTCTTATATATTCGTGTGTCTCTTATGTTGGTCTGTTGTATGCTCACCTTTTCTTCCGTCCGTCCATCAACAAACTGCTTGTCAATCATCCGTCAACCGTGCAGCCAACAGCTCGACAGTTTCGCCGCTTGTCCGGTGTAAATTCAGGGTGAACTTTTAATTACATGATTCAGAAATGGACAAAACTGGAACGCGTCAGACCTTTAATTGAGTAAAGGTTTGTGAACTTCTGGAGGCATCTTCCTAGTTAGAATCAACAAGTCTCCAATAATAAAAACCTTTCAACCGTTGCTACTGCGTACTTTGTGGCATTTCTTCTGGTTCAGGCTGGAAACTTTCTCGTGACTCTGATCTAATCATATTGTTTTATGCAAATGTAGAGCACAGCAAGGCTCTGCTAAACAGCAATTTGCCATTGATTTAGAAGCAATTCTAATTAAACCTAGTTGCACAGTAATTCCACTCCTTACAAAGATATAGATTGCAGGTCACAGAGTGAAACGCGACTAAAAGGCTTTGTGTATGCGTGCTTCATTGTTCCTGAGAGGAGTGAGATGTGACAACATGGGCTAATGGCAGCTGATTGCTGCTGTAATAAGGATCGTGTTTTCATTTAACACCATTCTTGACTACAGGTCTCTTTTGTTTCACAGTTGTTAACTTTTCCAGAGTGCCCTTTTCCTCCTTCTCCTTTCTTTTTTTTCCTGTTTATTAAACTTAGTGACTTAGCTGTAGCTTATTTACCAGAGGAGGGGAAAAAAATTAAAAAATAAAATAAAATGATTTGTTTTTAAGTCATCAAAGTGATGTAATGAAGTTCAAGTTTACTTTTAAGGCTTGGATATCACTTTTGACTTGGAATTGATTTTACCCCTTTAAGTTGATAATCCATTTTAGCCGAGTTAACTTAGCTTATTTATATCACAGAGTCCCATGGGCTCACTGTAGTTTAGCTGTGTTCGGGGGTGCTGCGCTTGCTGCTAGGGGTAATTGAGAGCCCTCTCCACTGCAGAAACAGGAAATCAATAAGAAATCATCTGCCTGCCTACATCTGAGCCTTTGCGCTTTTCTTTTCCCCCCGGCTGTCTGATTTAGAACTTGTGTACTGTATCTGGACAATAAGTTTTCTCTACAAGAGGAAGCCCATTATGCTGTTTTGATAACAACAGCGATCCCATTTCAGCTTCAATAACACTGTTTTGACAGGTCGGCCATTACATCAGCTGGGTCGGTCCTCTTGAAGCGAGTTCCTGAAATAGGCCAGCGGTTGCATAATTCCCAACAGGGCACCCGTAGGACACAGGGTGCAATCGCAGGAATTTGTAGTGAACAGTGATCGGACACAGATGTAAAATAAGCTAAGCTATTTGAAATGAGAAGGATATTACAAAGTCTGAAATTTGTCTGTCTGGAAAAAAGGAAAAGGGAATTTAATTTTTTTTTTCTATACTTTCGTACTTCTTCCATTGTCTTAAAGATCCTTACATTCGTCTAATCCCGCTGAATTCTTCCTCGCTTCCTCCTACCCATAATCCATCCATTCACACATTTGTTAATATGTGATTTTTAATAGTTTCCCTATTTATTGCCCGATTACTTTCCAAATACTTACTTTCCTTATGCTTTCTGCCATACATTCATATGGAATTTTTGTAACCAGAAGAACTACAAAGTATCTCTACTTTAAAATTGTCTAAAAGGTGCTGAGGACTCTCGGTGTTAGAAAAGTATAAACTTTTCCCATTAAAAAAAAAAAAAAAAAAAATCTATGACCCCTGGATGGTTTTGTGTCTGAGAGCCCTGTGGTTTGTTAGACAGCAGTGTTCGCTGCCTTTCTCAGAGAATCGTCCGTCAGTAGATCTGCCATCCAGGGTGAGGTGGGAGAATTCCTGTGGGAAGAGAGACATTCTTCAACGAACCGTTCTGCTCTTACGGCTGATATCTCTGCAAACAGTGCCTCTCCAGCCACCGCCTCGGAATAAATCACTACCACCTCGCAGCGGGTTTTAGGAGTTTAATCATCATGTAATTCACCGGATTGCAAATAGTTTTTTTTTTTTTTATTCTTCTTTGGTTGATAAAGACGACCTTACTAGCCTGTGTGGTTTTTTTTTTAAATTTTTTATCTTAGTGTAACTTTAGTAAGAAAGTAAGGTCAAATAGCACGACTCTACTTTCGAAATAAAGGCTTTAATTCTGGCCTTTGTGTGAATCTTACGTTTGCCACACGTTTGAGTTTATTACCTTTTAAGAAGAGTTGACCTTTTTGAAATGAACTTTGTGACCCTCCACACCCCTCGCATAATAGATGCAGAACGGATTTAATCGGACAGGACTGCACAATTTTACTCGACTTTGTAAGTGCAAACGCTGGACACGTGAGATGTTTATCCGGTGTTGATTCAAACACCGCAATCACCCCCTGCGTTACCTTATGCGCCTTTCAAAGAGCCTGGGGCACTTTGAGACTTTTAACCTCATGTCAGTTTGCTTTTCTTTGAGTCTTTATGCCAGTTATTAGAGCTCTGTGCTGATTGTTGTTTTGCAAGATTCATATCTTTATTGTAATCCCTGGAGCCCTGTCTTTGCAGAAAAACTGCCTCCAAAGCATAGGCCTATTATAAACTGCACCGTAATTTTCAAGTGATTACTTACCAGTGGGTCATGGAATCAAAAACTGTATAAATAGGGTGAAATGCTAGTGCAGGGGTTGATTAAAACGGTCATTGTAATTCTACCTCTATTGTAATTATTTTCTCATTGTCTTGCTGCAGATAGATTTCATATGGGAAATTTCAAGTGTGTTAATTAGCATATTTTACTCAAAGTGCCCAAGACTGTTCACCATTTTTTTTTCTTTAAGATATCCAAAGTAGTTGAGCCAATTGATTAGATATGCATACCTCAATTCCTAATTATTTAAGTGCACATTAAATAAGAGGGTACACATATAGATTTTAATCACTAGAGTCTTTTTCTGTTTTCCTTACTGTTGAAGACCATGTCTCTCATTTCGATTCAAATTGAATGATGGTCGTGGGTCTTAATATGCTGTAAACTTCTAGGAACACTCAAACTTTAGTGTATATAATTTAATAGATGAACACAAAGTGCAGTGTATTTGCAAATACAAGCCTGAAAGGTGTGGTCTGCATTTGCATTCACCCCTAATGAGTCCAGTTGCGATTAAATTAGAGAGTATCTAGAATGCGAGAATTTTTGCCAATATTTGCCATATATCTCAAGCATGTTCAAGGGTTGCTATCGATTTTGTTTAATTTAGGTTTGGACTTTGACTGGACTCTTCTAACATGATTTTGTTGATCTAATCCACGCTTTTGTATCTCCGGCTGCATGTTCAGGCTGTTTGTCCTGCTGGACAGTAAACTCCTGGCCCTGTCTCAAGTCTTGTGCAGGTTCACTTACATTACCATCCTTGTATTATGTTCCAGTCTTCAGTCAGAGGTTTCGTCAATTCCCGCTGTAATCCGGACTGCTGCAGGATATCCTTCCTGCCCAGATCTGCTCTTTGAAGAAGCTTAGTTTCATTTACTAAAACGTATTCTTCTCAGTGGGTGTGATGTGTTCAGTGTGTGATAACTGTAATCCACCACACATTCCAGTTCGCATTCAATTAAAAATTATAGTTTATATCTCACATGGCCAGCGAATGTTCTTGTTGTGCTCCGGCAAACTGGAAAATAGCATTCTGATTTTCTCTTAAGAGCAAAAACACACAGATGCTACACAGGTGGTACAAATTAGGTGCTTTTTTTTTGCATGTAATTGTTTGTATTAGTTTGTATTTGATTGTGGTTAAGTAATGCAGGACAAAAAAAATGCCTGTAAAACATTCAAAGTTTTTTTTATTTGTAAAAATGTTAAAGTTCAACTTCGCAGTGATGCATTTGAATGTTTTTTTTAGGTCTTGAAAGCCCAATGAATAGTTCACAGTATGTGATTGGAATGTGACAGGCAAAGGTGATGTCGCTGTATGTTTGGAGAACTTCAGCAAGTTCCCAGATTTCAGATTTTTATTTTATTTTTTTCATATAAATTAATAAAAAATTGCAGGCGTAAAGCACAGGTTGTCAACTGCCAAAACAATGATGGTGTCATTGCCTTTCACAACCCACTCGTACATGGGGGTTGGTGTCTAAAAAAAAAAAAAATCAACTAGTTGAAATGACAGCAGCACACGGGGTATTACTAGGCCCCTAACAGG